ATCTGACCGTGCTTTATCCAGTCATATATAATGCTATTAATACATTTTAATTAATTTAATTTAATTAAATGAAACCAGTATAATTACCAGTTGAGTAGATATTTCATCCGATTGGTAGTCTCTCTGCATGGAGGTGTTGGTTAGAAAGTCAGTAAATTCTAAGTGTTAGAGTTTTAGGAGTAGAGTATTAGTCTCAGATGTTGTCCGAGTTGGAGTCCCCAAACTTCCAATTCCTCTCTCCTCTCCTTTGCATATGTCCTGCATCTCCCTTTGTCTTAATTTTTAAAGGGCCAGACTCTCTGTACGTCATCAGTTGATAACCCAATAGAAGCACTAGAGGTGTGGTTATCTTCTAGATCGCAAATTAGGTATTTGGTCTATAGAGGGCAGTCTTGTCCCACTAAACATACCTATCCAGGAAAGAGTTAACTTTTCCTGGTGGCTATTTTGGCCTATCTAGATAGTGGCTATAACTTACATATCCTTCAAAGATCAAAGGGGTTCTTACATTTTGTCCAGACTATGTGTCTGCAAATCTGCTATAATTTCTGATATGACAGATCATGAACTAAGTTTACCCTTTTCCATACAATGGTACCTTATATGTATAGACAGTTAAATATTAAATTATTTAATCTTCTCTGTCACAATTGTCTGGGTTTAAATTTGATTATATTCCATTAGCATTAGACAGTCTGTCCAACCCCCTTCCTTATCACTTGGCTTGTATATACTATGCATTCCTCAGCTCTGGGAAAGTGGTTAGCTTACAGATAGAAATATAGTGTCTTTCTGTTAACTTGAAATAACAAAATGGAGTCTGGTCTGTTCAGAGTGACTCAGAATATACACTTTTAGTTTCTATCATAGCACAAGATGTCTGCCGATATAAATACTCTGACATTATAGTGTTTATCATTTTTCTAATCCTAACTTGTTGTGTACTACCTTGCATACAAAAGTATTTACAGAAGACAGTAGGGAAGACTATAGACAACGTAACCCCTACTTTACTACACTAAGACGTCACTGACCTAGAATGTGACACACCACATACACCCCTCCAATCCCACCAATTCAGAAAGACAACTGCATTTTCATAGGGATAGCATAGGGAAAGCGTCTGTCTCTACAGGCGAGTCTCACGTGCGGAGATGTGGTGGACTAGCCGCTGCGGGTTACCCACGGAGTGAAGTGTTCGATGCTTGTTAAGACAGATGAGCTGCAGGCAGCTAGTGACATATTAGGGACAGTAGCAGTTGTTATGGTAAATAGTCATTTTAAGGGGGGACTGTTGTGGAAATGAAATATTGACATATTTTTAGCTAGTAAAATGTCTATTTACTCCATTTAGTTATACTTAATAAATTACTAAACTGACCACTAGATGTCACTCATGAGTACCCCACCCATCGACCAAACACTCTAATTTTCAAGATGGCGCTGGAATCCGGGGGAGAACTTCATGACGACAGTAATGCCATAAGAAGGCACACCCAGTAGGACGTGCTTTGAATAAAACACTTAACACTTAACCAATTATTGATGTATTTTTCCATGTTATCTCTGACAATGCTTATGATGTAATTTTGCTTTAAAAGGGACCTGCCGTCCCCTCTGAATAAACTTTCCTCAAGTTATTCAACAACCTGGAACCTGTGTCTGGTGTGAATTACTTCAGGGAGCGTGCACTCATTGATTGATTTTTCCATTTCAGAATGATACAGAAAGAAGGGCAGGAAGGTGTAAGCCAGTGGCGTACTAAGGGGGGGGCGGAGGGGGCGGTCCGCCCCGGGTGCCACCAGGGTGGGGGGTGCCATGACAAGCCCCGCCGGCCCCCCCATGCTGCAGCCGCCCGAGCGCTTTGTAGAGAGCCTCAGGTGGCTGCAGCTTTGCCCGGGCGGTGCGTCCATGAGGGCGGACCTCACCGCCCGGGCGCAACCTGAGGAGAGGGGCTGACAGGAGGGAAGCGCTCAGCGCTCCCTCCTGTCAGCTTCCTTTGCTGTAGCGTGGCCGAGCCCTGCAGCATTGATAGTCCGCGGGTACAGAGAGCAGCTGTGTCCTGTACCCGCCTGGACTAACAGGAAGTGCACACTGAGTGTGCACTTCCTGTTAGTCCGGCCGGGTACAGGAAACAGATGCTCCCTGTACCCGCGGACTATACAGGGCTCGGCCACGCTACAGCAAAGGTAGGGGGGAGGGTGAGAAAGAGAAAGGAGGGAGGGGTGAGAAAGAGGAG